GAGAGAGAGAGAGAGAGAGAGAGAGAGTGTGTGAGTTTGTGTGAGAAAGACATAAATAAATTAATCACCAAAGCCAGGCTCCATGACACATGCCTGAAATCCAGCTACTCAGGAGACTGAGGAGGCAGAGTCCATTTTGAGTCATGAAGTTCAGGGATAGCCTGAGTAACTTATTTTCCTTCATCACTGGTATCTACTCCTCCTCCCCTGTAAAGTTTCTGTTGGAGTAAAATGCTCTCAAGGAGCCATCCCCCAGTGTCTTCCTCCGTACTCTTCTCAGGAAAGCTGTAAGAGTCAGCCTAGTAGCAGGCTTCACACATTAATAGAGTGCTTCTGAATTGGTGGGAAATGCCTCAGAGGCCCTAATGACTCTCTCTCGCCTCCAGGCCTACCTTCTCATTGAGGAGGACATTCGAGACTTGGCTGCCAGTGATGACTACAGGTAAAAAACCTGAGGGGCCCTTCCCTATCCTCCCATCCGCCCCAGTAGGCTCGGATGAGGCCATCACCTTTAACACCTCTCCAATGTCTCTCCCAGAGGATGCTTGGACCTGAAGTTGGAGGAGCTGAAGTCGTTTGTCCTGCCATCCTGGATGGTTGAAAAGATGCGGAAGTACATGGAGACACTACGGACTGAAAATGAGCATCGTGCTGCTGAAGCTCCTCCCCAGACCTGAGCCAGGTGTTCTGGTTACACTTGGCAGCCTGCCTCCAAGACCCTCTTCCCCGACTGACCGGCTGAGGCCATCTGGGGACTGGGTCTCGTTGGATCTTAGCAGCATTAAGCTGTCCCTGACCTAGTTTGTAGTGACTCACTGCAGAGCACCCAGACTGGCATGTGGTTCTGTTTTTAAAGTTACTGGACTAAGAAGCAATTAAACAGTTTGTAATAAACCAGACGGTGAGCTGCTGTAATAACTGCATTGTGGGGGCTGATGGAACAAAGGTGAAGTACTAGGCACACCAGAAAAGGAGCACCTGCCAGCCTCCCCTGCCCTTGTTCAATTAGGAATGTTGCAGTGTGCCGTCTGACCCCATGGGGGTCTGATGACCTACCAAAGGACAGGTGTTATCCTCTGTTACAGGCTGACACTGACCTGCAGAGGCAGCATAGCAAACCTGCTGGAGAACCATAGTATGAGTTACATTTGGGGAGAGGAGGGTATTTGACACAGGATCTCTGTGTGTGACCCTGGCTGACATCGAACTCAGAGATATGACTGCCTCTCCTTACCGAGTGCTGGGATTAAAGGCATTTTTGTTTCTTTGAGACACAGTCTAATATAGCCCAGGCTAGCCTAGAGATGACCTGAGGGTCTCCACCTTCCAAGGGATTACAGGCACGCACCACCTGAACCCACGTTTTCTAATAGGGAGTCTGCTCCAACGGCAGCCTTAGGATCACCCACCTTCTTAGGCTTTTGAAAGTCTTGGGACCCAAACAGAGGTAACTAACTTATTTTAGTAGGGTGAAGAGAAAAGAACACTGTCAAGCTCTTAGACACCCTTTTCTGGAAAAACTGAGCCCTGCTGGGCGTGTGCCTGAGGGACCAGGGGTTTGGACAGAGGTCCAACCACTGCCGGGCGTGTGGTGCACTCATTCATGTAATCTCAACACTTGAGAAGAGAAGGCAAGAGGGATCAAGAAGTCAAGTCATACCTGGCTGTGCGGCCTAATTACAGGAGAGCAACAGGAGTCGGGGTCCCAAAGAGACCTGGGGTGGGGGTGGGGGGGATTATATCCACGTGGACCAGTCTTTGGCCCTTTAATGGTCGGCGTCGTCCAAAGGCCACCAATCCGCTACCGGTTCGTTAGTTAATGGCAGCCTTCTCCGCCAATCGGCTGTCCGACATAGGCCCCGCCGTCCAATCGCGGCCCGTTACTGGGTGGCCAAGCGGTTGCGCGGAGGCAGAGCGCTCCGGGGCGTCCCATTGGCTGGATCAAACCCAAGCGAGCCTGTGATTGGCTCTCGCTGCGGGAGGGTTGCGATTCAAACGCGGGCGGCGGCCCGCAGCCCCGCAGTTTGCCCTTTCGTCTTCACACTCCTGTTCAGGTCCTAGCGTCTCGGGATGGCCTCGCAGAACCGCGACCCAGCTGCCGCCAGCGTCGCCGCCGTTCGCAAGGGAGCCGAGCCCAGCGGGGGCGCCGCCCGGGGCCCTGTGGGCAAGAGGTGAGCAATGCGGAGGTCACCCCGGTAGCCGGTGAGACCCGGGACACCTCACCCCCGGGAGCCGGTGAGACCCGGGACACCTCACCCCCGGGAGCCGGTGAGACCCGGGACAC